TCTAAGATTTGAGCTTTGCTTGGGAAATCTAGAAACTTGACTTGGAATTATTGGTTCCTAGGTAAACCTTGATTTAATGTCAGGCACATCATGAATTTGTGAACATACATGCATAAACATGTCTTTGGTGTTGTGGGTTTAAAACCTTAATTTGATTTTTGTTATGGGTATTTCATTAAACCTATGATTTAGGTTTTTTGGAGTATGTTATAATCTTGTACATAATGTATATGACTTATTCACTTAGAAATGATTTTGTTGCTTTGAAAGTGTAAATTTTGAGTTTATGCACCTATTACATGTTTCATGAAATGTCAAGGTTGTGACATGAGTTTTCAAAAGGATTTTTGAAAAATGTCTACTTGACACCGACAAGCAGAGGATTAGTAAAGGGTTAGAGCCATTAAGGAGGTTTACCAAAGCGACTACTAATTCTAGGGGGATTAGTGATGATAGTGATTTTTCGTGATAACATGTGTCATTTCACAAGTGCAAGACCTAAAAGGTTCCTCTTAAATGGTTCACATGCAATATGTATATGACTACAAGCCTAACCATCCAATTCAATTCTCCAAACCCTAACAAGCCAACTCCACCAAACCATAACCACAATGTTGAATCAATTGAATAATGCAATGTAAGTTTCAATTCATTAAACACATTGTAGGTGCAATTATAAGAGAGAGAGAGAGTGTGTGTGTGGGCAATGCAACAATAAGAAGATCCACAACACAAGCAATTTTAAGCAAAAACCTTTTCGAAAAAAATTGCTAAATAGGCACCCTAGTTAGATGCTTGCTTCCTTGTCAATTTCTCCTCCAGATACAACCACCAAAGTCTTAAGTAGCTTCACTTGGACGCGCTTGCCACAATGAATCATTTAGGCCTCAAGCAATCTTCGAAGGATGGACACTGCCAGATTCTTGGTATGCACACAACCAATTTGGGTTTAGGTGGATCACCAAGCAAAATTTCTTTTCCTTTAATGTGTGATGTTGAATAGAAATGATTAAGATGGTTTGGCAATTGGATTTTAGGGGTGTAGGATTGTTCTTATCTCTCTAGATGTTTAAGAGACGGCTTTGGAGTGTATTAGAAAGTTACCCTAGCTTAGAGAGGCTTGGCCTATTTATAGGTCTGCAAATAGGTTTATCTTGGGGTCTAAGAAAACACAAAATTGCGAAAGATCACTTGAGCTGTCAAAGAGAGGTGACAGGGCAATTGCTACTGGAATGCGAAAAGTATTCAATCTGGTTAAAAAAAAAAAAGCAGAGACCGCTCGAATCATCGTAGGATGGCTAGAGCCATCTAAAGGTCGCTCGAGCGGCCTAGGGAGAGTTCTTTATGCCCAACTCATCAACCTTCTCCAAATTATTTGTAAATGTTCAGGGACTATTCTAGCCGAATGAGAGTGAGCAAAGGGCAATCTCTAATAGTTTTTCAACATGAAACCAAACAAAAAACTTGATCTATTAAACACTAAGGAATGTTGCTCAAATAGGATCTGATACATGACTCAAACTATGTTTTCAAAATACATTTTTTATGTTTAGAAAATCTTTTTCATGAAAAAATTATGAGTCATTCACGAATAATCCTAAATCTAATTCTATTAATCTAATGAGCCTAACTCTAAAATAAACCAAGGGTCTTACGTATCCAAGTCATTATCGTGTCCTAAGCTTTGAATGTTCAATGGAGGTGCTCTTGATACGGCTTTGAAGATCTTCCTTCCTGAAGCTTTCAGAACTTGATTTTGAAGCATCATAACCATGGATTTAGGTTGAGATTTACAACAAAACTTCACAAAGTTATCCAATTACAACAAACAATTTCCTAACAAAAAATATAAATCTTGATTAATAACTTGTGTATTTTGAATGACGATGCGTTGGGGGATTTTTTTTGTAAATTTATAGTTATTACCTTATATATCATAGAAAGTTTTCATTATTTATTCATATAATTTATGAAATATTGGCATTTAAAATTTTGTAAACGCTTGAAAAACAAATACTTCACTGGGTTGTGGTTGCTCACCATTTACTAATGAATGCAAAGACTAACATCCATCCGAGGGTAGGTGATGAAAGGCCTGTGAGAGCTTAGGTTAGAAAGAATCTTTTTTGAAATCCTTTTGTGTATTTATCCACTAAACTTGTGCAGAAATGTTAGTACACAAACATTGTGCTTGAAAGACTTGTTTTGAGACACAAGTGATGTACACTTGATTATCTCATAGAGAAATTATTATTTTGGGTATTATAATATAAAGTTATGATTTTGGGTATACATATGTATATGAAGAATTCGAATTTGAGAGGATTTTATGGGCATCCAATTGTCACACCGACTTTAGTTGAATTATATTGTGATGGATAGATGTTATGGATATTTAGTTACTTTAAAATATAATCGGTTTTTACATGGGTGCCCTTACTAATTTGGTTATATGCCCGAAATTATGTCGGATTTTCTAAAAAGTTTGTTTGGATTAAATCAAATGTTTGATTTCATTCAATTTTTATTATAAACCGGCAAGATATTTTTGGTTAAACATGATGTTTTTAAATCGCACTTTCGATGAAAATTAGGGCGGGACATTAATAGTTGTACATTTGAAAGGTTTCTCCTTTCTGAGCTACTATACAATTATAATTTACATAAGTAATACAAATATAATAAATATTGAAAAAATCTTGTTTAAAATTTCATTTAAGGTTCTAATTTTCTATCGAGACGCCCAAATCTACACTATTTACAAAAGTCAAGACAATACCAAAAATTGCTATTTTAGCTCCTCCTATTTAGCTTTAGAATCTAACTTAACGAAAACACCTCGTTGATATCCCGCTCCCATGGCATGACACCTGAGATTCCGTAACAAGTAGATATTTCCACTGGAACATAATTAATGCACGTTACATCATAGCAGCACAACCAAATGGAGGCGGAAACCCCTTTACTAGGTTGGGTGCTAGCACTTTATACCAATTAATATAATATTAATTAAGGGCTTTTCCCTTATTAGTCAAGTTGCTCGAGGCCGGAAAATGAGAATACAATCTCAAAGATCTTGTCAAATGGTAGAAGAATCTATAAGTTCGTTAGAAATCGATAATCGTTGTTTGGACATACTAGTCACAGCTAGTCGGGAAGATGAGAGATCAACAGCGGAGCTGCTAGCTACTAGCTAGAAATGAAAGGACAAGACCACCTTTCACAGGCCAAGATATTCGAATGGGAAATCGTGTGTAAAGTCGAGACATCAGATATGACTCAAGAACAAGTATCATGCTACTTATTAATATTCAACTAAATCCGCACATCTAACATCTAGCTTTTCAGTAGATTTTGTATGATATGAGAACGTCTGTGAGTAGCCAACATCTGTATCCGTAGCTAAGGCAATCCAAACCACGGGAGTCTTAGTACTTCGTGTCCAAGCCTAGTTTACCCTTGAAAGCCCCATTTTCCAAAGAGGAATGGGGGTAATAACCCAATTTTTCTATTATTCTCCCAGAGTAGCCTTGACGGATAGTGGTGTTGGCTGGAAAAGAGACCTAGTTAGTCAACATGTTTACTTCTGCAATTATTGGCACGGTTGAATCTTCCGACATTTCCATGCTCTGGATGTCCTATTGTTTTGTAGATTCACTTGTTGGGTCAGAGCATAGAGAGTGATCAGAGCCCAAGAAACAAGAAAATCCATCATAGAACAGTCAATTAGAAGTAGAGGACTACTGGCCTGAGAAAAGCCGGCCTTTCTCAAGAAATATGGCCCAATTTCTCTTCTTTCATTTTTCAGGGGCCTAAACACTAAAAGGTGGGGACCAAGGAAGCCGAACCAAGCTCTTTTCTTACTATTCATCCCTAGCTGAGGTAACATCCGGGCAAGCACCAATGGTTTCAACAGTTTCATCTTTCCCCTTACTTTTTTATGTGACACCAGCCCTAACTAGTCGATAGATTCACACGAGAAAGATTTGACTGCATATAAAGATCCCAAGCCAGGTGGGCTTCTAGATCACGAATACGTGATAATCTTCTAAGTTCGTGTCTGCTTTGGCATAGGGGCCGAGGAATTATAGGAGGTTAAGTTTGAATTTTTTAAAAAGATTCTTTGTTTAAAGATCGTCTAAGAAAATCAAGGAGTATCACATTGGCTTTGAAACAGTTGCATAGTATTTGGCATTTTATACAAAGGCTTTGGCCCTCCAAACAAGAGATGGCCTTCAGATTGTTGATGGGTCTGCACCCTTGCCTAAGTGGATAGTAAGGAGAATACCTTGCTTGCTTCTTCATTCATGTGTAACATTTTTTCTGCCTCGAAGGTGGCAGGATGGGTACGCTCATGTCATGTGAGAAAATATTCATTGCAACGGTTACACCCGTCCAATAATAGGATTACAAGTAAGTAATTAGATCTCACATGAGTAGTTCTTACATGACATATTACATGAGACAAGATAAGTTACGTTATTCTCCTACTAGATTGTAACAAATCGTAGTGCTTCCCTGCATAGCAGAGTTGTTTTACAAATTGTTGTCTTAGGTGCTCTCAACTCTGTAGATAATTTGAACTAGGTGTTTCATCATATCACATGCAACGAACGTCATACATTGCTATTTAGTATAGAAATGAAAATAGAATGAATCCCACATTAATGGCACCCATCTCATGACTCCAGGAATGTCAAAAACCATCTTAACCAAGGATGCCAATGGAAGAAAGAGTGGGCAGTTGTCAGACACCAATTCATTGGCACATCTAATAACAGCCCACTACTGGTTGCATCTAATTATGTAGATAAACTTCATCAGAATAATCTTGAGGGCAAATCTGCATCAGAATGGAATTCACTATTTGGTTTCAAGCACTATTTTATACTGCTTTTGGTGCAACAAATGAGAAGTTATGGATAGATTGCTGTAAGCCACCCGGTCGCCTGTTTCTCTTATAAACAGTGTATTTACTAAGCTTACAAAGATACATTGACTCAGGATGTTTGGATAGCTTTTTGTTCAAGGTTTGTGAGGATGTCAATACATTTCTTTAGTAATGACTTTGCTTGTTCATTCTTCTCTACCTCATACTGCTTAAGAAGCTCTTCTTTGAACCCTACTTCTGTCCCATCAACCATTGGAAGCAAGCCGTAAAGATTAGTCACTTCCATGAGACACTCAGATGCTGCAATGTGAACCTGAATTTTATGCACGAGTTAGAACAAAAAAAAAGTCTAATTGCTGTAAGTCGAAAGTAGCAGAATCATTATTCTTATGCATATTCAAGCCCACAAAATTGTAAAACTAAAATTGGAAAGTGGTAATCTCGTAAATGTTTTGTCAACTATGTGCACGTATTTGCATAGCTGAGGTGCTGTATATGCACGTGAAGTAAGATCATAGATTTTTTTGCCTTTCTCAAACAAAGCAAGGTAGCAAGCACACTGGATCTATGTTTTCCTTCTTACAACACAAAACCGCTTGGAGAATTGTGGTTGGCAGATTTTTAGGTGCTCTCATAGAGAACTTATCCGGCTCGCACACACTGGATTTAAATAGTCCACCAAACTACAGATTACCTCCCTGTGGTTGGACCTCGTAACACATTACCACCTTATACTTTAAAAACCTACACATAACCCCCTATAATTTTGGATCCAAATAAAAACCCCAACTCTGTTGACGGGAAAGAGAAAAAGACTGTTCTACTATCCTTTTTCTATTTTATCAACAATCATTGATTGAGTACAGTTTCTTTACTCCCACTGCTCCTTTAGATACATACTTGCTTTGAATGGAGCAGAGAGGAATGAGAGAGCAGGGAAGAGAGGACAAGAGAGATAGATCAAAGAAGAGAGGAAAAATAGGGTAGAGAAGGCCGATGGGAAGGGAGTGCAGAAGAGAGAGAAAAAGAGGTCTGTCCATTTGTTCACAGCGGCAAAAGTATGCCGATGTTGTTCCATATCGATATGTTCGTTGCCAAGATACCACCCACTCCATCACCAAATTATTTCCACTTCAATTGCTTATCTGTATTATTGGGTCAGCTTAAAATGGAGTTTTGAGTTAACAGAATTTGGTGGAGAAATGCGTGATGAACTAGATCACAAAAATTGGAGAGCGGGAGCACCATGAGTTACTCACTCGTAAAAATTAATAAAAATAGTATTTAAAAAATTCAATTTCATGCACAACTATATGACAAACTATTTAATTTTTAGATATATGTTGATTTTAAGTTCTTAAAACGGCAATTAAAAATTATAAATAACATTATAATTTGACAAGTATCATTAGGTATGGACCGATACTCCCAAATAAAAATTTGACTAATAACAAGTAGGCATATAAGTATGTAAGATCATTTATTAGTCAAATTCGCGAACTGAAAAATAAAATCCGGAAATTCAATCAAATGGGAGTACAATTTCACAGAGAATTCGATTCCAAAGCACTAATTTGAGCGTGCAAAGCTGGTGCGTGAGGTGCTTAGACAAATTATGTGACTAAGGTAATGAAACGGAGCAAAAAGCAGTAGTGGGTATGGGTCATTGGGCAGTTGAGGAAGGACGCTGTTGAAGGGTATTTTGGTCTTAAAAATGATTAATTTTGGAAAGAAATAACCCAACCTTACATTTTAGGCATGAGGTGAAATCTCCGTTAAGTCTGATGAAAAATCTAATGATTTTAATTTGGTCCAAAACTATAGGGGGTTGTGTATGTTTTCAAAGTATAAGGAGGTAGTAAGTTACAATGTCAAACCATAGGGAGGTAATCCATAATTTACCCTAAAATTAAAAATTAGGAGAAAATTGGACTATACAACCTGAATTGTTCAATAAAACAACCGCTCTTATATCCCAAATTTATGAATGGCAGTCTGCAAGCAGAAACTTCAAGATAATTGGCATGGATTGGCAATGTAAAGGGTGGTTAGGGAATAGAGAAAAAGAACAAAAAGGTAAGCACAAAATCTGCAGAGCATCAATTACCAACACCTAAAATTGGAACAAGGAATCATGGAGCCCGTGATACAGACATTCTGAAGCTGTGGTGGTGGACCCACCAATGAGACCCATTGAGGACATAGTTCAAGCCACTCGTCGTAATCATCTTTACGGGATGATCTAATTTCTTTGGTTAGCAGATCTTTCTAGTATGAATTTAAGCATATATATTGGGCAATATTTCCCACCAATGTCAAATTTAGAGATAAAGTCATGTGCGTGCACTAATCAACCAAACCAATAGAAAGGATATCTTACCTGTGCAATCTTTACCATAGATAGACATTCGAGCACCTTAGGTGACACAGAGGAGAACAACTGGAGGCACCCAGAACGAGAACTTAAAGAGTCAAAAATACTAGTATTTGATATGACCAGATAGTTAATAGAACTGAGTTGTGACATTACCTCCTGAACTAGAGTCATGCCAGCATGTATGGAGGTATCTTGATAGTCATGCGCATTGTTTTGAAGCCTTGAGCAAAGTTCTTTTATTGACGAAAACACCGACATTTTAACTGCCCAAATAATACAATAGTTGTATTTAAAAACAAAATGTAATTGAGTTAAACGAAAGGAAGAAATGGCATAAAAATACCTGTCCAAGGAAAACCAGGTGACAAGGAAATCAAAAACACATGCACCAGGTTCTGCTGCTGTTCAAGAATATCACTCAAACGTGCCACATGGATGCATGATGTAATGCATTCAATGATTTTATCATGTGAAGCAGAAAAATCTTCTGTGACATCTGCTTCCACAGACAAAAGGGTAGTGCTTAGAACATATAGGGGTACATCCTATAGAAGCTTTAAATCCAATATAGTTTGATCCAAGGAACAAAGAGTATAAAAATGGGTGCGCCAGTATACAGATTCCTTGCCAGTATTTAAGAGATAAAACCTCAAAGTTGACAAGAAGAAACGTAAACATGAAACATGTAACAACTATCTCCACTGGATTACATAAGAAAATCAGAAATAAATTGTTCAAAATTGAATACTCCCTAATATTGAAAAAAAAGCACTAGAGATAATGGAAAACAACAAAAAAGACTAGACTACATCTGATGAAATATACAAAAATATCAAATACAATCTTTAACACCCCCTCAACTCATGATGTGATAGTACAAAATATCGACAGTCATCAAAAACAGACACAAAATGATGTGGGACTTCGTTAATAAGGGAGCGAACTACATAAAATAGACAAATGGCAAGGAAATAGTCCACAACTAAAGATGAGGCACACTAGATGACAGTCAATCTTGATATTTTGGGTACACTTGTGAATAACAGAGTCGTATGCACTCAGGATGACACTGGTTGTCACTATATATGAATAGGAACCAAAAAGGATATTACCTGACTGATAAATAACCATCTGAACTAGACTATTCCTGATGTAGTAATAGCAATAGCACAATATTCAACCTTAGTCATAGAACAAGCAATACGATATTTTTCCACTTCTCTAGGAAACAAGAGAATCACCCAAGAAAAACTTAGAAACCAATGGTAGATTTACAGCAGGTCCCATTCAAAGTCAGCATAAAACTTAAATGCAAATGTTGAAGAAAACCACAAACCCTTACATTAAGTGCCTCAAGGAAAGTGCAAAATAACACCAACAAACAAAATCACGATACACAACAGGATCAACCAAGGGGACACCATCACAAAAAGTGTCAGGCGTGTTAAGTTTGAGATAAGACTATATAGTTGTAAAATCAAATAACTGAGCCCTCTTGTTAACATCCATTGCTTCATTTGACTGACAAAAAAATAGCCCTTAAGAGACAAAGACATTTCAATGCCCAGAAAATGTAGAAGGAGACCAAGATCCTTTATCCAAATCTGAAAAAATAAAATATATTGAAGGTGTCAAAAGTAGAGCAAGTGGATGTGCAAGGAATATGCTCAAGAAACACCAAATAACAAAGAAAAATGCACATGGGAGAACAAGTAGATGACTCGTTGAGTTCATATTTAGGAAGAACGAAACCACTCTAACCAAACACATGCAATGCAAATTAGTGAGGTTTCTACATATAACCATTCGAAATGAGAACTACACAAAAGTAATAGTTGAAGTCAAATTTTGGATTGCCTCCACATCTGGCTAGCAAGACCACGATCACGTGAAAAGAAAGTCTGAGACCAGAGGAGCTATTAGGATCAACCCTTCAATCCTTAAATTAGTTGGAGATTTAAAGGTATTCAATGCAATAAAACACCAAGAATGGTGTACCTCGTGCACCGATTACAACGATATTACATGTTTTTAAGTGATTGACTTGCACTAGAATTAGGATCTGACCTTGTATTGATCCTGATTGGATTGGGATTAGGCTTATTCTTTATCTGTTGATCTATCCTTATCTGTGTGATTGGACTTATCCCATCTATGGTTTTCGCCGTCCCACTTCTATTTGAACAAGGATTCTAGCAAAGCTACGTTGGGCTGGACCAAATGAGCTTCTTATCCCAGTGGATTTTTCCATTAGTCCTCAAGTCCAATTAGGATCACTAGAAGGTCAAATCCTAAACCTATTGCAACTTAATCAGCTATAAACACCTAGGGGCTCATTTGGTTGCCATATTAGAACTGAATGGATTAGATAAAGTAATACAATCTAAAACAATACAGATGGATAAAAGACAAGATTAAATAAGGTATTAGAATAATACATAATTTTATCCAATGTTTGGCATTACACAACATAAACGTTGGATAGTAGTTATTTAATCCAATCATATGTTTGGTTAGGGCATTATTTCATGGTATTAATATTGAATTAACAAAAATACCTTCAATCAGTGTTTGCTACATTAATGACATCTGAATTTTATCAATTGGGGATCATAATAGTAAATGTATAAAATAATACATTTAAGTTGGATTATAATACCACCTCTCTTTGTGGTAGTAAAATATCTCCATAATATAGGTCTATCATACAAAAAATATACAATAAGTATACAATTAATATAAATTTTTAAAATTAATACGGTATCAATTTGCTTACCAAACAAAGTATTAGACCCGATTAAATAAAATATAGTACAATATAATATTTAATCCTCTCATAATACGTCTACTAAACGAGCCCTATAAATACAACTCCAATCCATGCATCATGGTACATCATTCTTAGTTTTCAACAACATTGAATACCATTGAGTCTCCCACTGACTTTAAACATCAAGGGGACAATCCGAGAGTTCCTTTGGTCTCCAACCTTCTTCTTTTTAGGTGATCGTGACCTAGCTGACCAAACATGGAGGCAATCCAAAATTTGGCATCAATAGTAATAACAACATAAATCCAATTAATGAGATAAACCATATTAAGGACCGCTTCTTGCCAAGAAGAACCAAAAATAGACAAAAAAAAATAGCAATGAGGGACCAATTCCATTATATGTATGTGGTTTTGCTAAGCCCCATCACTTTGTTTAGGTGTGATTGTACGAGGGACTCCTCAATAATTCCATCGGATTTAAATGACTCTAGAAAATCTTTACGTCTATATGCCCCCAAAATAATACCACAAATTTTGAATTAACCGATGAACATTGTGTTTGAATCATGACAAAAAAGAGGAATAATAGAGAACAATGGGATTATGACCCCATAAATCAAAATGCCCAAGATAAAAAGGAGCAGAGCTATTCGCCCCTACCTAAAGACCAAGAAGGAGAGAGAACGGAAGGCTACGAGTAAGGC